GTCCTGTGCCCCCCCCGGCCCTGCCGTACCCCGAGCCGCCCCGGGCCGTGCAGCCGGTCTCGCCGCCGGTGCCAGACAGGCCCCCTCTGGAGATGGAGGCTTTGGGAATAATTCTGCCTTTCTGTAGGATGGCATCGTCCTCGGAGCAGATACGAGAGCAACGGAAGGAATGGTTGTTGCTGACAAGAACTGTTCAAAAATACACTTCATCTCCCCTAATATCTAGTAAGTTGTTTATTGTGGCGTTGGTAATAGTATTGGGATTTTTAGCCATGTCCTTTGCTAACAGCAAATATTGTCTGCTTTGAAAATATAACTTATTAGTAAGGCATGGGGATTTTTGGCATTTCATTTAAACAAGTTATCTTGTTTCATGCTCTAGAAATATTGACTGTACGACAACTTAATTTCCTCAACTGTACAGTGAGAAAACTTCTACTTGTTGGATAAAGCAGAGAGTTATTTGTTTCCTCTGTCCTGCCCATCTTTTCCTAACTCGCTTGTAATATTTTTTCAGTTGTTGTGGTGCTGGAACTGCTGCAGATACCGATATGACAACTCAGCTGATTTCATCCAATCTGGAGCTCCATTCACTATCTACTGGACGGCTTCCAAGAGTTGTCACAGCTAATCGAATGCTAAAGCAAATGCTTTTTAGGTAACCGGATGGGTTTCTTGTTTATTAACAATGCTGTTAAAACCACTAGATAATATTTTAGCTCCTGTGAAGGAGCATCCTTCCTCAGCCTACTTAACGTTCATAACAGGACTTTAGGAAAGATTTAATAATTGCTCTCTCTGTCATAGGCTTTTGAACTGAGGTGGAAGAGAAATCAAGCCTACAGTGTTTGAGAGAATTGATACCATAGTTGTGTTACTAGTATTTACATGGCAAAAATAGAAAGACAGTAGTTTAATAAACTGTTGATCACACCCATGAAAGCTGCTGTGTATCTCTAGTGAGATGACTGGACCAGTAATAATCTTGTAATGTGCAGGCTTGTAAAATTGAAAATTTCATATGACTTGTAATAGAATTGCTACCTCAAAATGTATTTTATTTCCAGAAGAATGAAATGTTTAACTGTTTGAAGCCCACAGCTGTTAATATAGAAACCTACCAGTGGTATGATGAGACAAATGAGTAAGCTGGTTGGAAGTAGTACTAAGTTATCCTAAGATTTGAGTGCTTGACTGATCACAGTCAGTCAGTGGCAGTTGAGTTTCCTAACCAGCATCATGACGTAGAACCTACACTTAGAGTGAGGGCAGACCTTTAAGTATTCCAGTACTGTTTAGTACTGTCTTTTGCAGAACTAGAAAATGCTGTTGAAGGAGAAAGAGAGAATGAAACAAGAGTATTCAAGTAAAGTTATTGTTGAAGCTATTGGAAAGTCTTCAGGAAGATGGAATACAACAATGGAAAGAAAATGCTTTGTGCAACCAACTGACAGATAAATGATAATAATTTAGCTCAGTCACTTAATGCTGTATTGCTAGGCAATTTGCCTTTTTTAAAGTGTCACAAAACAATAAATTAAGAAGTTAAAGCAGCTAAGAACATCTCATGGGGGAAATGAAGACATTTTTTTGAAGTCTTTAAATAAAAACTTAATTGCAGATACAGGAATTTCATTTAAGGGTTGAAGACTGATTGGAATTCTCTCCCTGTTAGCACAAATGTGTCATCCATCCTACTTGCTAGTCCATTCTGCTTGACACTGAAATACACCATATTTTATTCAACAACTTAAAACTATTGCTCACAGATAGTAGAAGCAATCTTTCAATAAAAAGTATTGCAGAGATTGTACCTGGTGTAACCATGAAAAAACTTACAAATGCTTACATTGTGTTAAAAAGAACCAGAGCTTTATTGTGGACCTTCCAATTCACGTATAATCATTGCTCCTAGGTATCAAGGCTACATCGGGGCTGCCTTGGTTTTAGGGGGAGTAGATGTCACGGGACCTCACCTTTACAGCATATATCCCCATGGATCGACTGACAAGCTGCCTTATGTGACCATGGGTAAGTGCTACACCCTTGGTATTGTGACGCAACCGTCTGGTAGAAAGGGTGAACAAATCAAATGTAATGTGTTTTTACTTAAATTCTGTTGTTTGCTGGGAGCTGTACAAACCTCAGACTTCAAAGATGAAGTTGTACCCGTATTTGTAAGGCAGGTGCAGTGTTCTCTGTTTTCTAATGCTTTAAAAACATGGGCTGTTACACTATTTAAGCTGCCAAAAACCTGGTATTAAGAGAGTTACTGTGTGCATTCTCAAGCATGCCTTAAAGAGAAATGCGTGATTCCCAAAAGCTTGCTGGAAAAAAAAAAAATCCCTAGAGACTTGATTTGCAGGTAATCCTAACTCATGGTTCGTATGAAGTCTCACTTGGGGAATTACATTCTGCCTGAATTTTTTTTCTGTAGTTTCATTAGGAAGAAAATGTGCCTTGCCTCTCCTTTGGGACCGTTGTGTTTCTGTATTTTTTGCTGAGTAGCAGCTGTATTTTACTCAAGGTGCTTCACTGTAGTGAAGCAACACCTGGTTTACTTGCTACATATAATAGTTGGTCTTAACTACAGTATGGAGCTTCTCAATAAAGTAGTTTAATTCTGTCTATTGCTGGGGTCAACTTGACATCAGTAGCCCACCATCAGGTTATTAAGTGTTAGTACCCCAACTCTTCTGTCTGTAATGTTTTCTGTAATAGCAGTAATTAGAGCTATAGGTATGTGCAGTTCTGTGTGTGTCTCAGTTTCAAATTCAGGATTGTGATAATACCGAAAGCTGAAACTACAAATTTTAGCGTGCTTTTTTGGCATTTAGGTACTGTCAAGACCAATTACAAAAGCAATGTTCAGGATACATTGTAAAATACAATCTTGGTAAATGTATTCTTATTTGCTGTTATTTCAACTACAAACAAAAATATGGGATAATGGGCAAGTAGGTACTTTGTGGCAGCAGAATGTAAATCATCAGTAGCTTTCTGGAGTGTCTAGTCTTTCTTGCTTAAAAAGCAGAAACATTGCTTTGTTACTTCCCAGTTCTACAGAAGAAGATGGAGAATACCTACAGGAGAGAACAAATTTGTACTCAGTGCTGCTTTGCAGGAGCAATATTTTAAAGTTGTGAAGTGGCTCTTGAGTGTGTACCCCTTTACCTGTGATCTTGCTTAACAACCCGATTAGAAGCCTCTTAGGAGTATATTCAGGAAAACACTGTGTTACAAAATACAAAATCTTCATTTCTAACCTTGATTTGTGAGTTAAACTTGTCATTCCACCTATGTCTAACAATTCTTTGTCCATATCCTCTAGATAAAATTGTTTCTTTAGATGCCTAGTTCTGTTTTGTGATTAGTGAGGGATGCTTGGAGAGTCCCTGTGGTGAGAATCCTGAAGCAATAAGCTATAATAAGCTTTGTGACTTGCAGAAGAGCCTTAGTGATCACCATCATCCTCATATTTTTTGAGAAGAGAAATAACGCCTGCATTGTTGAAGGGAAGGACACACACATCTTGAAATATTACAGAACTTGCCCAGTCTTTGCCAAAGGGAGTATTTTCAATAGTAGTGTTGGCTTGTTTGATTAGTTCTGAATTCTTCTGTGATCAATAGGCAGTAATCTGGGAGTAGAGGGTAAAAAATGGTAAAAGATGTCACTGAGACATTGGTAAGATTAAACTAGAGCTTTCTGAGCTAATAATATTCTTGTGCAGTTTCATCTGTGGCTTTTAAGGTTAATGCCCTACTGAGAATATCATATATCTGGAGGAAGTAAAATTCCAAATGTAACCAGGGTTGCAATCATTTTTGCTCTTTGATCACTCAAGAAGACGCTGTACCATTTCAGACACGCATTTAATTTTGAAGGTTTGGATGATTTTAAATGAAATCTTGGTTTTGGTAGAGCTCTGGAAGAGTAATGTAGAGTCCAAATACATCAGAAAACAAAACTGATCTGGAAATGATGTGTCAGGTTAGTACATCAGATTCAGCCTGTGTCTGATGCAGTTTTTATGCTGTGATGGGAAAACACAACTTTAGTTAATCTTTTTCTGTTCGTGGTTGGCATCTCTGGATAAAACACCTGCTTCCTCTATGCGTGGAAACGTGAAAAGTTTTTCTTTTTCTTCTGGGCCTTTGCACTGCTGAAGCAGTACAGCTTTTAACCCAGTCAGCCGCTTACACCCGCGTAAGAACTTCTGACTTGCAGAGGCGGTGCCGCACCAAGAGATGGTGCCGTTACCTCAGGAACCGGCCGAGCACTCGGCAGATAAAATCCACCGAACGGTCAGGTGATGTCATTGTTCAGCCTTTGATACACAAAAAAAGTAAATTTCTCATTCTTATAGTTGTCTTATATCCAGTATTGTAGTACGCTGTAAGTGACTCCGTACTGAGAGCTGCCAGTAGTTGGTTGCCTGAATAAAGCCACAGAGTTTCCATTATGTACATGGTTACTTTCGTGTGTCTGTTTAAAAGCTTTAAAATGTGGCATTTCTGAAAATCCTGGCTGCTCCTCTTTCCCTCCACAACAATAACATAGCAGAAGTTCAAACAAGTAGGAAGTAGAATATCAATGGATTAAGTTCATTGTAGTTTAACCTTTGATTTGCTGTCGGCTTTACAAGGTCTGTGTCTGGTGATTACATCTCACTTTTGGTCGTGCTGTCAAACAAAGCCCTTCTTGGCTAAATGTCCTTTACCTCTCTATGCCTGGTACACTGCTACTTTCTCGAGTGACTACAATATATTTTAATAAAAAGATTAGGTTATGCATATAAAGAACTGAAACAACAGAAAAAGTATCAGAGGTCAAATCAGAGATAGTTGGAATTGCATTTCAATTTTAGACCAATCTATCATTTGCTCCCCCCCCCCAGGGCAGTTTATTAAGTCGGGGTGGGTATTTTTGGCTAGTTAATTTCTGGAAATTCAGTGTTAAATAGGAAAGGTGGTTGAGGTGTTGGGGTTTTGTTTGTGTTAATGTGCTGGAGTGTGTTTGTGGATGGACAAGAGTGGTGTCCTCCCTTGCAAGGGAGACTTAAAAGATACTCAGTGCTTACTCAGGAGTGAAAACATCAAATTAAACTGTTTATGCTGACAAAGGACAAAATTGGATTTCAGCAAACGGTGCAAGATTGTCTGATTGCTTGGCTTGTCTAGGAAAGCTTCTGGCCAAGACTTATAATGAAATGCATGCATAAAATTAAAGCACTTGAAGTCTGTAGTTCAGCTTTTGGAAACAGTAAGTATGTTCCTGTAGTCTCTAGTGGCTAAAGCTGGTCCCCTGGTACTGGTGTTGCTTCATATTCATAAATCAGCTCTTCATGCATTGGCAATGTCGTCCTGCAGAGCAAGCACTACCACTGCTGAGACTCAGCCCCTCAGCCAGGAACCAGGGTGAAAAATGATCCCGATCGATGGGGCTGTGGAGATCACCGAATTTTTACCTAGAATGAACAGCAAATTGAATAACAATGAGTGCGTGTGAATAAATGCCCTGTCAGGGAGCCCTGACACTGATGGATTAGCAAGTGCTAAATGTTGCTCTCTCAAGGCTCTGTACATCCTCCAGTGTGGCAAGCTGAGGTAGCAAACAGGTCCTTGGGTGATGAAAATGGACTGTGCTTAGCAATAAGAAGTTGTCTTCAGTGAATGTTCTGCTAAAAAGATCCAGTTCATCTGTTTCGAAAAGCTACAGCAGTTGCAAAACACGGTGGAAATGACCGTTGGCTGGATTTTTTTTTTTTGCTATGTATCAATAATTATCTTTCACTTTAAATCAGAACTGAAGCAGTAGACCAGATGGGATTTTTAAAGTGAGTTTATTACACTTGAGTCCAGAAAATTCTTAAATAACTTACTTGTGAAAACTTATGAAATGACCAATGTTTCTTAAAGAATAAGGAAAAGAAAATCTTACGGTTTCATAAATTACCTGGTTTGTGCTGATTATTGGACTGAAAAGCATTTGCCTCAGAATAGAGCTTTGCATCTCAGTTTCTGTAGGTCTTTATAATTGTCTGTCAATCAGTATTTTTATTTAGATGCTAAATTAATACCCCCTGAATATTTGTTTCTAAAGTGTAGCTTACTGAAAATGTATGCAAAGTAAGTTCTTTGGAATCGATATGGCATTTTTTTTCTTGATGATTGTTTCCAGGGTTGTTGAAGTAATAACCATTCATAGCAGTTACTGGGTTTTAAAATCTGGCTGAAAGGTGTTTTTCCTGAACGTTACATAATACAAATACATGATTTTACCAATTATACTTTGTTTTAATTATTATTATTGCTCATACACCAAACAGTTGTAAACTTCCAACTTTCTAAAAAAAAAAAAATTCCAACAAAGAAAATTTCCTGTTTCTGCATTGGTTGTGTGTTAAGATTTCAGACAAAGTTGTCTATCCAAGATAAATACCTGGTTTGGTATGACTCTGGATCTGAGCTCTGTTGAAGACACTATTTCATGACACATTATTGTGCAGCTTTCTTGAGTGTTTTAATAGATTTGAGGTTGAAGTGCTGCATCTTGGCAATGCTGAATCCTAACTGGTAGTGACTTAAATCAGTTATTCTCGGGTATGAGGTGGGAACATCTATCCCTAATTAATGGACGGTGTTTTGCAATGTTTGGATTTTTTATCTTTCTCCAGACATTATGTTTGGGAATTGTTAAGCTTGTTTCTACATAAAGGCAAAGCATGCTTGTTAAAAATGAATTATTGGTGGGCACTGAATACGTGGACAAGAGAACAGCTGTTTCCCTACATACAAACAGGTTCTCCATAGACCCTTAATATCTAAGTTTTCTGTGCTTTTATAGGTACTGCAATAAGAAAACCATACTTGCAATGTTTACTTAAGTTCACAGATTTTATTGCCAGCTCTCCTGTTACAATGCATAGCTTTCACAGGTCAGTGGAACTACTTGGAACATTGTGGGGTCGATTGGATCGTATGTGGAATTTGACAAGTAGAGGGAAGTCGGTGTAACTGGATAGGGAAGTTCACAACTGTGCTCACGAGCAACTGCCCGCTGCCAGTTTTCTGCGTTTCTGCATGGAGAGTCAATCAAGGGATGGGTTTCAGCCCACCAAATAGGGGAGATGGAGGGTGTTTCTTAATATGCTACAGGTGAATTATGTGCACATCATTAGTATTTTTCAAAACAGCTTATGCTGCTGTTGTCAAGCAGCAGATGATCTGATGGGGAAATACAGAAGTATACATCTATTTGTGCTTCTAAAGACATAATGTTTACATCTGGTGCTAGTAAGAGTAAAAAATTTTCATTGTGCTATTTAAGATTACAAAAATCTGTTCTTTCAGAGAATGGCTAGCTGTGCTGTGAGACTTTTGCTGAGGCACTTTTTTTTTTTTTAAATGCAAGCTTATAAAGCTTATGTTTAGGATTTATAAGCAGTAGAGGAAAAAAAAACCACAATCGAGTTTATTCAGCTTTTCCAGCATTACTTCCTGTTCTGTTAGAACCTCCTTGGGATCTCGGTTTTCAGATGTAAATGTCTACATATAGGTTTAATTAAATTAAGGCTTTCAGCAGCTCTTTGAAAACTTACATTATAGGGCTGTCTGCATTTATTTATTTAAAGTTGATATTAGGTTTGGCATTTATTTGTGTCTTGGAAACACAGTGAGATAAATAATTAAATAATAGTCCTTTCTACATAATGGATTTAATGTAACAGAATGTAAGGTTCCCTTCTTTATAAGCCTGCTGAGTTCTTGCCCATAGGTTATTTTGGAAACTTCTTTTAAAAAGGAGCTGGAAGAATGAATCCAGTCTGAGCCACACATGAGACTATTGCAGTATTTGTGTTATTGATGATTTTTGTCAGTAGAAGTTTTAAGAAATTAAGACCACTTTTTCTTAGCTCAGTAGCTAATGTAGTAATTTTTCAGATATACTACCGTTTATTCTTCAATTCTTGCACATTTTTGTAGTCTTTACATTCTCATTTTTTTTTCAGAAAGCCATTACCTGAGGGTAAGATTGTTTACTAGTTTTGAGGCTTCCCGTTGTGCCTATGGTAGGCCTTCATTTGAGTGTAGTAAGAATGTGGTCTTCGTTTGAGACCATATCTCAGATTTGGTTTTTTCCCTCATTAGAAATGTTCCTGTGTCATTCCACAAGAAGAATTATTTTACGGTTCAAGTCCTGTATTTGTTTTGGAACACACCTTATTTTGACCTTGTTTGAAGGATCAGTAAAATTCCTTTTATTTGTGATTTGTTCTGTGATATCAGTTGTTTGCATCAGCAGTTCATTTCTGCTTTTCCCTGCTTAAAAATCTTCTTTATTCCCAGTTTCAGCATTTAAAAAATGGAGTCACGTATTGCTTCGAGGTGTAAATGAATAGTCATTGCCTGTAATACAAGAACACACTTAGAGTGTCCTACTGCTTTTAGATGTGATGTATTTGGTACTGTAAAGGTAATGATCCTCAACCACGGCAATATTCTGTAACAGGAATATCTGTCATATTCATTGGGATTACCATGTTCATTGATTTGTGTCTGTAAATCTGCCGTTTCTACCCTTTAAATTTGATCTATAATTGGACCTCCTTAAATGGTTCAGATAAGGTAGTCTGTATTTTCTCAACAGTGTCACTGTCAGCTTCTCCTTTTTCATTATACATTCAGCAGACTTGATAAAATCAGCAGGACACCTCATTTGAAACTGTTTAATCGCTGCCTTTTTCTTTCACTAAACCATTGAGGTGGTCAAGCGATATACACAAATCATTTTAAATAGAAAATATGGCTTTCTCTGTGACCCAGCTAAACAGATAGCAGTATGCAAAACAAGTTAAAAAGTAATAAATGCCAAAAAATCTTCTAATTGGAGTAAAAAATTGCAGGTAACTTTACTCACTCCCCAAAAGTAGTGTGCTCTGAAATATGGTTAGGGCCACAGACGGACGAGGTATCTTCCTGAAGACTCACTCTTTCTGAACAAAGCAAGTTTATGGTTTCAAATAGTATCATACTGGTTTTCCTATCAATTTCTGGAAAGCACATTTATAACACCTGCAGTTACAGTGCTCTGGGTAGAGATGGCTTCTGTTCCATTACTGCGCTTGCACTGCATCCTTGAAGAGAAGTAACGTTACAGCCGCGTTTCCCTATCTGTCATTTTGTCTGTTCAGCTGTTATTGTTCAATGTAAAAATAATGGCACAAAGTAAATGCATAATAAACTGTTTAAAAGTAGATATGGGAAATAACCTGATGGCAGGAGCCAGCTACCCTATTACCATTGCTAGTTTACTCGTCCCCATGTGTAAAGGTGACTGTGCCAGGGCAGCTCGTTAAAGCAATCTATTCAGTCTGAGTGGCTTAGTATTAAGTGACATACCCTCTAATGTGGCCAGGCACAAAAGTGGGGCAGGAGAGATGGAGAAGTAGGATTTGCAAACTGTGGCATTCGGTTAACTCTCCTTTTCTAACCTCATTTTTGTATTTTAGTGTTCAAAATAGTAAAAAGAAAAAGGCTGTCAGAACCGGGACCAAGACGAGTCTGTGTACAGTAGCTATAAATTTAAATTAAAAGATTTAAAGAGGGTAGACACTTTGGAGTGTGTAGTAAGCTAAAGTAGACTTCAGTCTGGTTTGTGCTGCTGCTATTTGTTACCTTTTGCTTTAAATAAACCCCAAGCTGTATCTAAATACACTGGCTAATAAAGTGTCCTCATTTTGTTCCCGTAGGTTCTGGATCATTAGCAGCTATGGCAGTATTCGAAGATAAATACAAACCAGACATGGAGGTAAGAAATTTTTTTTTTTTTGGTAAACCTCTGTGTTTCTTGCCTCAATAATCCTTATGATCATAAGAATTTAAGAGGCTTGAAGCTTTAAAAAAGTTAAATCTCCTCTAGTTTTCCTGCACTTAAAATGTACTAATGTCAGCTTACTGCAAAGCTGTAAAAATTGATGGGTAAAATAAATGTAAGGAAATGTAGCTTCTTGCAAATTTATATATGGAAAAACTTGCGTGATTTGAATGTAAGTGAAAGCTTTAAAAACATACAATTTACTGATTATAGTTGACTTGAGGAATTTAACAGCCCCTGCATAGGCAATATTGCTGTTTTTCCATCAGTAGTCAGTCCTCTCAATCTTGAAAAGAGACTGTGTGATTGTAAAATCCACAAAAAATGTTCAAGTAGTGTGTGAAACCAATTAGATTTCTGGTTGATTTGGTATGTTCAGAACTAGTAACTGCACTTTTATTTTTAATATCTACTTAAAAGCTGATTATCAGAAGATGTATAAGGTTATGGGTTGTTTGTGTTTTCCTGAGAAAAACTGAAAAATACTTGATTGTTCATCATAAAGAATCATTCAGGAGAGCTAAAAGCTGGAGTGTCATGATTAGGATCAGAGTAAATGACACAGTTATGCAGTACATTATTTTTTATATTATCTATAGTATTTTCTTACCCTCAGTTACACCATGTTCAGTGCCTGCTAAACTAAACACTGAAAAATCCAGTTATCTGCAGATAATTGATGAAAATAAACCCAAAACAATTAAAGGGCTTTCTGTGACTGTTTTGTAAAGTGCCTCAGTAGTGTCAAGCCCTCTTTAAACCACATTAATCTCTTCAGACTTTCTGTGAATGCTTCTTCTCATTCCAATTGATTAATAATTCCACAGTAAAGAAAAAACTGAGAATTGAACACAAAATTGAAAATTGAAACCATAAAAAATGACTTGTAACACTAACAGCTGCAATAATTTCACCCTAAAATGCAGGTATAACAAATCTTACAGCTATTTAGTATCACTGAATATTGTGGAAAAGGGGGAAGTTGTTTTACTTCAGAAAAGGTCTTCAGATGTTCCTCATCTTTGTAATGCAACTGCTGTGGGTCATTTCCTCCCCTTCAGATGCACTATATTTTCAGGTAATGATCCCATAAGTCCACTGAGTTCCTCTCTAAATTTGATCAATTAAATTTAAAATTTAAAGTGATGTGCCGTATCCCGTTACATCTCCAGAAGAAACGTGGTGTGTAATACCAGTGGATTTAAAAAAACCCTCCAAATTACCAAACTTGTTTTGAGAAGTTTTACATTAAACTGCATAAAATAATAAGCATTTTTCCAATTATTCCTGGAACTGGCTTCTTTTCTGCTGGTATATATGAAAAAGTTGTAGGTGTGCAAAATTACAAGAAAGCAGCAAGATCAGGATTCCTGTGTTGCTGCTGTGTGTTAGGCAGTGTCTGAAGACACTGGACTTCTGGCCTCTAGTGTATTTATAAATGCCATCAGAAATACTGGAATATTTTTAATAGGCACTCAAGTTTCTTCTGCAAGTAGCATTACACTAGATGACTGATGGAAAGAACCACTAGATAGAGGTAGACTTTTTTTTTTTTTCCCCCCCCCTATCCCCTCATGCCGCTGTAAGAATGACAGAGTCTTTTTCCAGCCTCTTGTGTGACACCGCACTTGGCATGTGTGCTATTCATACTGAAAACATGGGCTACAAATCCTTGGAATCAACAGCTCCAGCATAATAGTCTGCTTTCAAAGATACAAATGTCAAAGAGCTGTGCTACGGAACTAAAAATTTCATCTTATTCTCAGCTAGTTTTCGAGCTCGTATTTTAAGTCATTCTTTGTGTAAGAGCAACCAAAAAAGGCACCAAAAATTGGTAAATCTCCAACTTTTCCTATTTAGAAAGGTCATCCTAATTAAATTGTCTTCGTACACAACCATAAATGGCAGCAGATATTCACCATTAAACCAAGCATGTAGAAAAGCAGCCTACCGGTTTGTTGAAATAGACATTTAGCTCTTTGGGATTTCCATGCACCATAACCCTTCCTTTGTTTTTACTTGAAATTCTGTTATCTAATAACAATTTAGTAGTCATATTAACAGAACCAGTCAAGTTTCAGGTGATAAAGCTCAATTGTACTCTTAAATGCTTCTTCCTCTTCTGTTATGGCTGCCAGCTTAAAATATTTACCTTTAGAGTTGGATGTTGTTGTTCTCCCTGTAAAGTAACAAAACAAGAAACGATATTTCTATTGAAATTAAACCATATTAAACTGGAAGTATGCTACCTATATTTTACATAAAACTTGATATGAAATTGCAATGATGATAAACTTAAAATTCCTGGAGATTAATTTAATAAAATGAGTAGAGGATTAATATTTTTCTGTCAAGATCAATGCTGCTTTCTTTTGCACTAATTGTCAGAATATCTTGCTAGGGCTACTGGAGGGTAGTGGTGTGCTTCAAGACCATCACATCACAGAAAAATGATTCAAAGGCAAACTGTCCTGCACCCTCTGGTATCGACTTGCAAATTAGCATCTGGAATGTAATTAAACAAGCTTAATGAAAGTAGCAGCTGAATACTACTGGAAAAGACAATCAGCTTTTTTGCCTCTGATATATATTCTGTACTATTGAAGCTGATCACCAAACGCATCGTGTGAGCACAGTTAAAAAAAATTAGCATTTATTTGAAGAATAGGAACTGTTTTTCATTCTGTTATGCTTTTGGCATGCACTGGTGTCCCATGAGAGCCATGCCACAGCAGATAGTGCACAATATTTATAAATCCATGACAGGCAATAATAGCAACTTGAAAAATTCTTTTGCTAGAATTTCAAGTTGAGAGCTGCCAAAAGCTGAGAGGATCAAATCTGCAGTGGCAGCTGCTGTGCCCTACAGTTAGAATCGTAGACTTTGAAGATGCTCAACTTAAAAAAAAAAAAAAATTAAAAAAAAAAAAGACGACTGCAGGCTTAGCCAGTTTTTGCAGGTTTCTAGAGCCCTGGCTCTCTGCCTTTTGAAGATGAGCTGCTGAAGCTTCTCCCACCGCCTGAGGCATGCTAACACCAGCAGGATGTGTTTTTTTCCATAGACTTAGTGTGTCTTCAGATTTAAGTAGCACATGCTTTATCAGTGCCAACTGTGATGGTCCTTTCCCTGGTTGCAATGCCGGGAGATGATCTTTACCCAACATCCTTCAGAGAAACTGCTAAGATAGATGGTGACGTACACAACTGCCACTTCTGCAGTCTGATTTATGGAGGCATGTTTCATTATGAAGCAAGTGCTGGCCTCTAGAGGAACCATTATAGATTGCTGAAGATGTGAACACTTTCAGCCCTGAAGGCCTGTGGATGCTTCAAAAATGTAATGCCAAGCACCTAACTACTGTGGAACAATATTAATCTGTCATGTGGGCAGCTATAGATCTACTTTAAAAAACATAAGTGGAAGAACAGCACATCTAATGGAGTGTTTTGAGCTTAGATCTTTCATTGCAGCCAATTTTTCTTTCAACAGAGTTTCAATAGAGTAGCCACCTGGTTTTCAAACCTTACAGTCAGAATTTGCAAATCCATTCATGCCTTCTGGTGTTAAACAATAGAAAAGAAATTCTCTGAGTCAGTGGATATGGAAACCATCATGATCTGGGAAAAAAGTTTCTACAGTATTAAATGCTGGAATTCTGGCTTTATTCTGTGGTTGTTGAATTCTAAGGGAGATTGGGGTGGAGGTATTATATTTTAATCTAGTATTTGACTTCTGTTGTTCGAAAAGAAGCAGCCTTTTGTCTGTAGAAGAATTACTTGATGTACAGCGAGGCTATGTTGTAGCCCTCTGACAAAAGCTTCATGTTTAAGCAAGGAAACAGGCTGCTTGTAACTTCATTTTTCTTTTCTGTATTTCATCAAAACAGCCAGGTTTAATAAAAAGAGGGTCCAAAAGGGAGAGAATCAGTAGAAGCCACAGAAAGCAGAACTATTGCAGGGAAAGGGAAGTAAATCTTTGTGTAATGAGTTCAGGGGCACGGAATAGGTGGAAAAAAATGGAAGGAGGTAGTCTGGCAGATATTTAATAATTATTTCTAAAATAGATCACCCCAAAAATGTGAGATTATATTTACAGTCATTTATTGTGCCATTTTTTAAAGTGTAACAGGAAATCAAGTGGTACTGAATGAAAAGAAAAATACTCTGGGGGTAAGAACAGATTAAAAATAAGAGCGGGCTGTTCTGTATTCCACTTGTAGTGTGGATGCTTACCCTGCTGTCCAAAAAACTGCATCTTGCTCTCCTACCAGAGATGTGCAGTCCTTCACCTGTTGGCCAGGTTGGCTTTTGTGCTTGTTCAGTGATTACTTTTGCTAACTTGTTTGGTTCTTACAAACACGGGTTAGGGAACAATCCGAGGAGCCATTCAGCTGGCAGATTTGGGTAATCCTCTGTGAAAGGAGTAATGAGGAGCAGACTGGAGGAGTTGGAGGCAGTAACCTTTTCAGTTAATAGTTGCAGCTCTCAGGGTAGGTGTGTTCACAAAGAAATGATAGCAAGGAAGAGGACTGGAAGTTGCAAAATGTGTAGACTCAGGCTCTTCTGGTCCAGAGTTTTTTTGTTTCTGGTTTTGCCGCTGATTTTTGAGGTATTTTTTGAGCAGTCCCATGTCCCCAGTGTGAAGCAGCTGAGGCATAAAGAATGCTTTCCTCCAGGTGCTCGATGTGTGCTGATGGGCTCTGCTGTTTCGGAGTAAAAAGTGGTCTAAATGCAACTTTCACTATGTACTTCTTATTTCAGTTAATGCACAACGCATAGTACAAAATACTATGAAAACATGTCACTTTCTTCCATTTTTAAACAGCTGAGGTACAGATCTTTCAAATGTTTCTGTGCTCGTCTTTCCTACCGTCCCTCAATTTGGTGGTATTATTTTTGTTAACCACTGACAATAATACTGACCTATTTTTGGA